TGGCAGCTCGGTCGGCGGCTGTTCATCTCAGTGTGTTTAAGATGACGTCACTGCTCTGTTCTTTCTAACATAAGCCTACTATCTCTTCCACCCTCTGAATTCACAATAAATCTCACCCAGCTGCTGCAGAGGAAAAAACCAAAGTAAGCAAAACACTTCATCTAATGAGTTTTGCAGATATGTCAGTTTGTCCACTCCCTTTACTCGTTATTACATCTGCAATAAAAAAAAAAAGCACGGTGGTGTTCACTGTGAGAGCAGGCGTGTGTGTTTACTAAACACACACGAACAGACACGCTGAGATGTGACTGCAGTAGGTGAGCTCAGACTAACAAAAGCAAAGGAGACAGGTAGAAAGGGTGTCTTGTCAGTGCAGCTGGCATTTTGTTCAGCAGGGAGCAATGTAGCCTGTCTACCCGATAGCCCTCTCAGACAGGAGCAAGTCCATTGGGATCCCACAGGACCTCCTACCAGCCACACACCTGACAAGGGGGTTGTCTAAAAACTCTGCAGAGACCCTATTACACATGTCATACTGCTAAGCACTGCGGTGGCCACCAGATGACAAGCTTTCCACACCCTTCCCTTGATTGGGAGTGAAGCACAGAGAGGAGAACAAAAGGCTTTCACTGCACTCATATCTGACCAGTTTCAGTCTCAATGACCAAAATTCAAGCAATGTTTATGAAGCAAAGATTATACAAACGCATTGCTGTTACAACACTGCCATCTTCAGGCAAATTGTTGGTACAACTTTGTATTTATTCAGACAATCTGAGAACGTGCAGGTAGATATGTAGATAGATATAAATGTAGATAGATAATAGATATGTAATATACAAGAGGTAATTTTTTATTATTATTTACTGTGCAAATTTCAAACTAAAACGTCTCATCAAGAACAAAAGAAGCTGTGACATTTTTTTTAAATAAATGAAATAATTAAGACGAGACATGTTAAGTGCAGTAACAGGTTTACGGTAATAGCTTTTTCCTTCGCTCATCCAAAACATTGTATGGGTGCAGAGACTCCCACAGTCTGTCAGCAGTATGAAGATGATGCTTTCATGTAGAACGAGATAAGCAGCTCAGCTCTTCCTCCTGGCTTGTTTCAATGGGATCAAGAGAAGAAGCTTCCAAATCTTTAATCTTGTGTTCTGGATCCCTACCCTCGGAGCTGGAAAAAAAAAAAAGACAATTTAGTGAATTAGGTAGAGTGAAACTGACTTCTAAAGACTTTCAGTTTTACTCATGCGGTGAGATCAGATCTTTTTTTTTACCTATCTGAGTCAGAGTCACAGGAAATTTTGAGGTTATTGTGCAGATCCTCTTCTGAGTGGAATCTCCGGAGGCCGCAGCGTTGCACAGCCTGAACCACAGAGTAGTGCGTCCTTCCAGCAGCGCAGGCCTCTATCATAGGCACGCTAAGCTGTGACTGTAGGAAAAGGTGAAGGCAGCTGTCGGACAGCAGCAGAGGGTTCTGAAGGACTCTGAAAAAAATTTGGGAAAAATAAACACTTTAAAACTTCGCCCGGTATTACCTTTAGAAAGAGTCAGTCATGTGGTCCCGTGTTTGTACTCCAGTTTTTGTTTGACTAGGTCAAAGTTCATAAATGCATTGATCTTTGGGTTCTCACGTACTGTTCCAAAAATTTCTGGAGCCCTTTCATTCGATCAGTGATCTGCTGAGCGTTATTAAGACTGAAGAAAGGGTTTTTAGGGGGCAGCCCTGGTACATGTACCCTGGAAAATCAACAACAAGAACAAAATGTCAGGAACAACTGAGCACACTACTTTAACTATGAGTAAGTAAACTTTAAATTCAAATCTCAGTGGATGAACTTACATTAGCATCGAATTTGCCTGCAGTTTTCGCCTGAGCCATACAAACTCACTGTATCTCCTTCTCACTTGTGAGATCTTCTTGGTGAAGCACACACTGTCGGTCTAAAACAGGACACCCCAGTGTCACACACATATCACAGTAAAAATGCCCTAAATGAAAGAATAACGATTCGACCAACTGTCTTAAGCATTTTACTTACATGTAAACAAATTTCATAGTCTATGTAGGCATGCCAGAAGTCATTCTTTTGCATCCGTGGGTCCCGTACCCAGACACTGATGACCTGCTGCATGGAGAAGGCAGGACAGAGACTGAAAGACTGAATGGAATGCACTGTGTTGTGAAAAAGGGAAGGATTATATTGGCAGATAGAGGAAGTAGAATGACTAACATCACACGAACCAGGATAGGAAAATCCAACAGAGAATGGTTTCATGCTTAGTACAAACACGGTTATTTTCAAAGTTGTGCCACAGTTTAAGGAAAACACGTGACTCCTAAAAGATCTTTCTTCTTGACAATTAAGAAACTCTGTCACATTCACAACACTAATTCAGACCTACCTGATTCTCCGTGCTGTCAGTTTCTTTTCTCATGATCTAAAAGATTCAATCTCAATAACCGTAAGTCAGATAGATAATAGTGGTCCTTAGCACTGCATTTGTGTCTTTTATTTCCACCTTTACAGGTTATGGAGCAAAGGTTTCAAAATAAAGTCACAAGACTGATATAAGCACCTCCCTCTAACTGTCAACTCAGCAAAACGAGCATTCCTAAATCGGAAGCATTGTTAGAGAACATGTGTCAGCACAACCAGATCAAAGCAGCTAAAGTTACAGGAAATCCATACTTTGTTAGAAAAAGAGACAACTGCTGTAGGTTTTTTTTTTTTACACCATCACAGTGGATTTTACACGACACAATCAAGATGTGATTGAAGTGGAGACTTTTGGCTTTAATTCACAAAAGTTTAACAAAAAGTTTAGTATTAACTGTTTATAAATTACAGCCATTTTTATACACAGTCTTCCATTTTAAGAGGCTCAAAGGTAACTGCTAGCAGTTTTGTGGCCAGGTGAGGCCTGTTCATTTGTTATTTTGTGACAAATGAAGTAGACAAAAGATCTGGCGTTAATTTAAAATGGTGAAAATGGTTTAGATTTTAAATATAAGGTCTAATGAGATGCCAATCTAAGTGAGGAAGGCCGTCATTAGGCTGAAAATGAAAAATAATCCTCTCATAGAGACAGCAAAAAATTTAAGAGAGGCCAAATCAACAATCTGATCTGTTCTTAAAAACAATGAGATGCCTGAAAGATCACAGGAGACAATTGAAGTGGATGCTGGTAGCCAAGTACCCAAGGGTACTGCAGAGGCCTGTTTTTAAGTCCATGCCAGAACATTTTCTGTGTCTAACTCCTTCCACTCTCTCCCATCTTTTCTGTTTACTCACAGTACTGCACAACCAAAAAAAAACAAAGAAAAAAACAGAAGAACATAAAACTAAAATACATGATGACAGAATCGTTTCCATTATTAAGGAAAAACAACTTTACAGCATCTAACCAAGTCAAGAAGAGGTAAGCATATCATTGACAGGGTCCAGAGTTTAGAAACACCTTCATGAATGTAAATACAGAGAGTTTACAGCACGGTGGAAACCACTGGTTATACTCAAAAACAAGAAGGTCAGATAAGAAAATACCTAAAAGAACCTGCACAGTTCTAGAAAAAGTATCTTTGGACAGATAAACTCAAGATTAACTTGTGCCAGAATAATGAGAAGAGAGAAGCATGGAAACAAATCATTATCCTAAGTATACCACATCATCTGTAAAATATGTGGAGGTAATGTTATAGCATGGGCATGTATGGTTGCCAATGGTAAAGGGTCACTAGTGTTTATTGATAGAAGTGTACAGCACTATACTTTTCACTCAAATGCCACAAACCTAATCACTTCACAGTGCAAACAGATAATGACCCGAAGGACACCACAAAAGCAACTCAGCCATTCCTGAAAGCAAAAACGGGGATATTCTTCATCAACCACGTCAGTCACCTGATCTCCGCCTAACAGCGTGCCTTCCAGTTACTAAAAACAAAACTGAATCCAGAAAAACCCACAAGCAGCACCAGACAGTGACCGCAGCACAGGGCTAGCAGAGCCTCTGAAGCATGGAAAAAAAGTACGTGGTGGTGTCGATGGGTTCTAAACTTTAGGCATTTATTGACTACAAAGGTTTTTACTTTTAAAATGTTGTAAGTTTGTCCAATTGATTTCCGCCTCTGAAAATGAAGCACTGTCTAAAAAAAATCACTGCAAAGAGCTGCATTTTTTACAGTAAAACCCTTGAATTAAGATTAAAGGTCTGCACTTTAAGCACATCTTAACTGTTAGCTTTAAAATCCACTGTGGTGGTGCACAGAGGAAAAAAGAAAATCACAAAGCTTGTGTTTCTGGACCCAACTCTGTGTAGCCCATTTAGTGCCAGAAATGTAATGTCAAATGAATCATCTCATATTAATGTTGTTGTTTTTTTTTTATAATTTGGAATTGATCATTTATTTTAGGAGTAATTGGACCACATAATGTGAGAAATATAATCAGAGTGAATCAAGATGCAAAAAGTGTCAAAAAAGGTTTCATTTATTCACAGACTTCACAGATCCATGGTCAACAGTTACAGTAGTTCTGTAGCAGATGTGTTTTTAGGAGGTTTGAGGTTCAGCTGAGTGTCCCATAGCAGTCATGGGAGATATGTCGAGTCAGAACAATGCCACCAGGATACAGATATAAAGTACACAGAACTGTATAATTACAGTCAATGAATGCCCTGTGTAAACTGCACAGTCTCAGATCTAAAGTGCTACATTTAACAATCGTCTTACGCATTTACGGTGCACAAGAGTTCATTTTGATAAGTGTAAATCTCATTAGATTTACTTAAGAAAATTCATGACCTTCTAATTCAACTCAATTTTATTTATACAGTGCCAAATCACGACAACAGTTGCCTCGAGGCGCTCTTATTCTGAAAAATTCTACAGGGCTTCACTTTTTGGATCAAAGCACCAAATATTTAAATAATCTGAAACGTTCTAATTCAATAAACAGGAGAAAACTGCTCATTTACAGCAGCTGATTAAAAAAAACAAGGGAATTTTTGATGGGCAACATTTTTTTTAAAATATATATTATTTAACATCAACCACAAGGGTCATAAAGAGATACAGTAAAAGCTGTGTCCATTAACACTTCACAACCTCACACAATACAAGTTCAAACAAGAGGCATTCCAACAACAGGGCTACAATCTTCAGCTCTAACCAAAAGCTACATAGGCTGAAGGCATGGACTTGAACAGTAGTTTGCTGGCTCTGGCAGTAGCGTGTTGCCGTACAGGATGTAAAGCACACACTAAACAACCGCAGGGCCCTTCCAGTGTAAGATACTGGCATCTAAACAGGACTATAAATACTAAATTACTCATAGAACAATATCTTCAAAACAAAACACAACCACAGTGATCGAGTCCGCTACATGATGACACAGGAAAAAAGCTGCAACGGGTTAGTCTGACCTCAGATCAGCCGCTCTACATAAAGGTTAGCTTGAGCCTCCATCAGAGTGTCTGCAAAGTCACAGTGACCTTTTTTGAGCACCACGGGGCAGACAGCACTTAAAATCCACCACCGCCGAGGATGTCACACCTGCCAGAGCTCGAAGTGCTTCTGATGCCAGCTGAAGGAGGACATTTGATGGAGGCTAAAGTTAAGCTTCAGATGAGAGCACAGCTGTTTATTAGTTCTCCTCTGCACACAACCCACACACATTTTTACTGCTCGTCGTCTCCACAGTGCCAGGTCAGCTTCTGCTCGTAGAAGTCGATGACCACCTGGGGACATCTGGCGCTCGCTTCACGGGCCGGCAGCAGGGCAACGTCATCCGAGTTTTTCCTGTGGGGATACGCGCAGCAGAAGGAAAAAGACTGAAACCGCCTCTCGTTTTTAATGGATGTAAAATGTCTTAACAGAAACAAATATTTCTGACAGTTTTTTTTAATGGAGAAGTAAAGGGTAAGGGGACTCTACATAAAAGGGGCACTAGATTTTAGCTTTAGCTTCCTTTAGCTCATGCTCCATTGTTCCACCAATTCTGTTAAATTTAGCCAGTAATTTCTCACAGTGTCTTGCTGACAGATCAACAAATGTAAAAAAGCATATCATCACTGATTTTCAAGAACAAGGATGATGCGTGCCTAGCTGAAGTAACTACAGAGGGATAAAGCCATGAAAACACGGGACAGAGCTGCCAAAGCTCAGTTAAGAGGAGAGGTGATGATCAGTGAGCAGCAGTATGACTTCATACTGAGAAAGAGCGCTAGAGACACAATGTTTGTGCTAGTTTGCTTAAAGTGTTAATGGAGAAGTACAGAGAAGGAGTTGCACTCTGTCTTTGAGGATCTACAGAAAGCATATGACAGTGTACCAGGCAAAGCTGAAATAGGTAGGACATGTGCAGAGGAGGGATAGTTGATACACTGGGCAAAGGATGATGGAGACTGAGCTCCCAAACAGCAGGAAAGAAGATTACAAGAAGAGAAGATTACAAGAATGACAGAATGGGATGCAAGGGACAGACTGAGACAAACAAAGGGAATTTAACATTTTCTGACTGGCTATGCTCTTGTGGAGGAGAAGTAAAAAAAATGACTTGTTTGCTTAAGGGAAGCAATATAGGACTCTGGCGTCTTATCATCATATCAATGCCGTGCTTCTTTGAATGACGCGGACATTTGGGTAAGGTCAATAATTTGTGGAATTGTGTGCAAGTGTTTGCTTTCCGTAGACCTCTAAACTTCCAGCCCTAAACATGAGCACATCTTTCACACTCAAAAAATTCCAAGTTCTCCAACCTAACAAAACTCATTGAGCGTTTTAAAAGACTTCAGCCAACCGTTTTACAAACTGTGTTTACAAACTTTACAATCTGATGTAATTCAATATAGCTCCTCTTTCATAAAGTAACTACAATCGTAGGTAGTGTTGCGGCTCTGCTGGACTCCTGGACACTAACATTTGTGTATGTAAATCAGAAGAGAAAAAAAAAAAGCAAAACGATCTAAGCCGATCACTCGGAGCCTCATAAAGGTAGATCTTTGCAGAGCTGGACTTAATAGTCCAGGTACGCATAGTTAAGAGCCCACCGAGTCTATAGCTTAATGGTTGTGTGTAATGATAAACCCAAAGCCCATCTGCTCTCTCCAATCTGTTACTAATAAGGTTTGAGGTGGTCAGTGTCAACGTCCAACTTCTCTTCTCAAGTAAATGATCATGCATATATAAAATGTTGGAAAACTGCAGTTTCCCACAAAGCAACAGCAACAAAAACATCGAGTCCCCCCCCCACACACTTTGCTGTCTGACTCTGGCTTTAAATATTAACATTTTCCACGTTTACTCAAGTGCTGGCATTTATTATTCAAGGACAGAGTAAAGAGGAAGCAGTCACCATTTGACTAGGAACATGAGCTCTCCCTTTCTGTCCGTTGAGCCGATGATGCATTCGGGCTCGAGATAAGTACTGAGGTCACTGGGGGAGTTTGTCTGCTCATCATCGGGCTGAAGGACGCTGTTGTCCGTCTTCACAGCCTGAGCCTCCTGCACGCAGGACTAAAAGAACAAAATAAGAAAAGGCAAAGTTCAAAGTTGCAGCACAGATTTACTAGACATGATAAGAAGGTTGCTAAGTCGAGCCATTTCATTTTTTCTCCCTCACTGTACACACCCATTGCAGAAAAAAGGGGAAATTTAACTGGTTTCATTTTCAGGAGCTTTTGTAAAACTAACCTCTTTAACACGACATTTAGTTTCAGATTGAGCCTTAAAACAATTTCTGACAAGGAGTCAGTTGACTCCATTCCAACCTCAGTCTACAACTAAAGGGAAAATGCTACCATACTTCTATTGTGTTCCCTATACTTCTATATTTTTCGTTGTTGTTCTCCCTTTTGGCAGATTTAGCTGCAGAAGTTCTGTAAATAACATGGAAACAGACAGACATACAGACGATCCAGAAACTCCAAAATTCCTCACATACTCACAATTTCTGTCTCTTCCTCTGCCATTTCCTCTTTGGGAACAAACCCTTGCTCGGGTTGCTCTTCTTCATTCTCCTCGGTGAAGTGGGCGTTTCTCAAGAACTCCTCTATGAGTTCAGGACAGTCCAGGTTGTCCTCGGGTTCCCACGTGTTTTCTGCACTGCGGTTAGAGTTAACAGGAGGAGGGAAAGGCAATTTTTACTACGGTGGATAAACGGGTTACACAATCAAACCGTTCAAATGACTGGTTCTGCAACATCCCACTCACTCAGTGAAGCCCTTCCACTTCAGGAAGTACTCCACTCTCCCATTCGAGATTCTGCGGCGAATTATTTTTTCAACCACAAACTCCTGGACAACTGTAGTCTCCTCAGTCTTCCTCTGTTTGGCAGTCTGCTTCTTTCTCATTCTGCCACGATAGAGAATAAGCGAATGAATGAAGGCCAGGGCAATCACAAGAACAGGGAGTTCATTTCTTTTCTTTTTGTGCTAAAAAAAAACCCAAACTAAACACGGTGGAGTCAGGAACATTCACTTTTATCTCCCTGCTGCTGGGATTTTTTTTTCCAGCAGAACATGGCAGTGGCGACTACTCTGCTGTGCCCTTCATACAATGATCGGCACACTTGTTACAGCGCTCCACCTGCTGTTTCTGTCGGGTGATTGTGCTCCTTCAGTCCAAAAAAAGCAACATGTTAGTATCGCCGTGAGCGTCGTTCACTCACAGCCTGGTTACGAGCAGATTTAGCAGACAGCAGCCCGAAACATGAGTGAACAGAAGCGTGCCTCGGTGATGCATTAGATGCTGTAATGAACAATATGCACGTACGCTCTCGGTGTTTACTTAATCTCCGAGGATAGCCTGCTGCGGTGCCGCTCGGCTCTGCTCTGTGCTTGTCGCTGGAAACAACATGCACAAAGCGCCGGTGACGCTGCTTTGAGCTCAAATGTGTCGGTCGATGTGAGTAAATGAGCGAAACAACTTTTCATGAATGAGTTAAAATTAAAGATGGCCGTTGATGCTCGGAGGAAGTGGTTGCCAAGGGAAAAGGTCATGCCAGGAAAACCGGGAGGAGACGACGGGGACGCGCACAGCAGCGACCAATCAGGGAGCAGTCCGCTCGACCGTCCCAGTCCAGCGGTCCGGAACAGCCCTGCCACCCATGGGCGTCAGCAGGGTATGGCAGGGCATGCGCACTTCCTATAATGTATTTCACAAATTTTGTTTTATTTTATTGGAAACAAAAAGACAGTCCGAGAATACAATAAATAAATAAATAAATAAATAAATAAATAAATAAATAAATGTATTGTGTCTCCTCCCGGGATCGAACCAGGGATCTTGGTGCACTTTAGTTTTATTTAATTTTAGAGTACTCCCACGTATTTCCAATTGATGTTACATAAAGTTCAATACATTTAAGAGAAAAATACCATCCACTTTAAAATGATACAGCGGTGGGTTTATAAAGCAGTTGCAATGAATGTAAATTCCTGATGGAAATAATATACTGAATCGCTTGATTTTGCATTATTTTAAACGTTTGATGCTATTTTTAATATTTAATTTTGCATGATATTGTATAGTAGAAATTCTAATACAGAAAGTGTTACTTAGTATTATTTGAGAATACTTTTTTACTGTTTTCAGTGCTGTAAAGACACTGGGCGTTGTCGACGGGGATCTGCTCCCCTCAAACTCTGAGGCTGTACTGTTGAAATCGCAGGAAAAACAGTCTTTGGGAGATTTGACTGACAGTTCCCCTCTAGCCAATGAGTAAACTCAGAGCTACTGATTGGCCAAATAGCCCCCGCCCCATTCCATCCCGACCAAAGAACAGGCCTTTCCACTTTGCTTTCCAGCAGTTACTCCACACTGTTTTGTAAAACACCACTGGGGGACGCTGCCAGCCTGTATTGGACTGATAGCACCTCTGTTAACCGCTGTCAATAGATTTATACTGGAAAGCTCACAGCCAAAAGGCAGCAGCTCCACATTGAGTTTTTCCACCACTCTCTCGCAGGAGCTGTGCAGAATACAGCTTGGTGTATTTGATCATAAATTTATGTATAGACATAAACTTACATAGTCTAACAACACTACAAAAGTCCAAAGATGTATCAGACATACTATAATCAGAAAGGCAGTCAGGAGGAGGACAGGTGACTGGTCTAAAGTAAACAGCTACCATTATTTATATTTGGACTGACCACCTATCCCCCTTGTGCAGTGGAAACTTTTAAATGAGGGGGCCTGCAGATATTAACTTCATGAATTGTAGATTCTCTATTGATAAAACCAAGGTAAGCTGCTGTTTTCTACACTGTTTAATTATTAACACTGTGTCGAAGATACTCCAGGCCTCCAGATACAAATGCTACGAACTGTTTTCACACCAATTTATAAGTACATTGAGAACTTAGGGACCCCCGCCTCACTCAACAGACACACTAGAAATATAATCATAATTATAAGGGTCGACCCTTTTCAGTGTCTATATTAATACTGCAATACAATATTCCCATGTTGTGAAACATTATTTTGGCTCTCTCTCTTATAACTATGTTTTTCAGCAGTTTACAATTTAACATCCTTTATTAGGTGTGCTTTATTAAAAAGCATTTTTCGTAGAGCCACACCATCCTTACAAGACATCTTTTTCCTCCATGGATTGGTGTATTAGTTGACTGAGACACTGAGGCAAGACATGTGTTGGTTATCAACCAAATGACCCACTTTTGCCCTCGGACCCCTTCCTGTCTTCTCTTCTGGGGATTTAGTACAAGTTGCTATAGTAACGGAACAGCTAATAGGCTTGGGCTGTCGCTGTAGGCCCAAGAATGGCAGTAATGCATGCAGTGAGGTCCTGTCTAGATTTACTACTGTATATATTGTTTTGGGGGAAAGCAGGTTCTTTTAGATTTGCATTCCAGAATTAACATTAACAACTTTTCATGAGGAGATTTCTTTTTTCACCGTTATTGATTAAATGACAGTATTGATTGAGACATTGAGAAGACATAGTAGGTGAGTAAAACTGACCCTGTAACACTTAATGTTATGGGTTTCAACCACTCCTCCACCACAATTTACTATTCATATATAGACTAAAAACTGACCAATAAACATTTACATAAGCATCTGTTTTTGATAGTTGTGGGAAATTTGATATTATTGATCAGCCTCTGGATTGCAGTAGTTAGATTTAGGTGAACACTGGCATATATGAGATGTTTTATAAACATTTGTTTTATGTCTTACACAAATTTGTAATCTAAATAATGTTACTACATGTAATAATAAAGTGATTTGAGGCCTTCCTGGTGCCTTGAATGCAAACTGACTGAACCCCTAAATTGACCAAGGCACTAAAAATGAAATACAGATGTTGATGAAATTACATGCTCCAGTGTACAGGGTGAAAAGATATATTGCGTTATGCCGTCATCCCTTAAATCTACTAACTTCCCTCCCAGACAAGCACATTCCACACACCCACTGTGAATGGAGCCCTAATACAGATGGGGCTTGAGAGCCATTCTGTCAGAGCAGAAATTAGTCCAGATGGCTAGATCCTGCTGTGAGGGGATGTGGATGGAGTGAGTAGTGGTCTGTGTGGCTCAGGATAGGCCCGAGTGGACTCTTTTCACATGGTGGGCCCCCGGCGTTCCCTTAGTTCCAACTTTGAAGCTCTCAGATTACAACCACGGTGAAGGAATTCATGTCAGTCCTTGTGTTCTTATCAAGTCTGTGGTTATATAAGACACAGAATCCAGTAAAACGTTACTAAAAGTACCGGTGGTCAAAACGAGATTCAAATAAGTCCATAACAATTCACTGACTGCGCATTTGTAAAGCACTTTCTTGGATATCATTTTTGCATGTTTTGAAAAAATTCAAGTTCTTTGCCAACTCTCCCTTCATCAGCTTCAAAAACTGACTTCAGATCATATTCAGAGTCACATACAAAGTCAATCAGGGTACTAAGTGGCAAGCTCCAGTGCACTTTATGTCCTCGATATTTATGCAGCAGTGGCAGAGAGAAAAGAAACTTTTCACGAGTAACAGATGACGTGGAACCACAGACCACCTGGATCTACTTGCGGAAATCTGTCTCTTGTTTCAGAACATTTATGGTGCCCCAAGATACTTTCCTCTGTGTTATTCTATACCTGACACTCCAGGGCTAGAGCCGTGTAGTCATTACCAGTCTTTGTGTCTGCAGAGTTACTGGGAATGCATACACTAGGAGTATGCATTACACTACAGGTTTCAATCAGACAAGAAGAGATTAATATAGCATAAATGTATTTTATTAAAACTACTATCTGATCAAGAATGCTCATCTAAATGCCAGCACAGAGAGAAGGAATTATAATTATTTAAGGTAAAAGGTAGCTTGGGGTTTTCTGTTGCAGATCAGCTGTAACACTCCTTGCAGAAAACGGAGTGAAACAAAAATCGCAAAGGTGTAATATAGTTTACACAGTCATGCAGACGTTCATCCATGTGACATTATTGTCACCATAATATAACAAAAAAGCCATCAAAATTAAAAAAGCAGCCAACAGCCTTTGATTGTGCTTGATGAATACAAGGATCTAAGGATTTTTATTGCCATGAGGTGAAACTAAATTTTGCACTCAAGTCCCAGTTAAGACCAACAAAAATAACGCTCATCAAGAGCAATATATACAAAACCAAGAAACAGTATGAGTATAAATAAGAGCTTGAGAAGCAGCTGCGTCTCTGTGCGTCGTCAGTTTGAATAAAGAATAAACCTGAACCTGGTGAGATGAAAGTTTAAGCAGCACAAAATTGACACTCTGAAGAACCTCTACCATCTTTCCAAGAAAGTAAATAGTTTCCAGCTTTGGTTTCATACTGTATGTGCTTATTTGGAATATTCAGAGCTCGGCCCTTTGCAGCACTCAAAGAAACTCCATGTAACCTTTGTAGAGATAATAAATCTGTTCATCTGCTGAACGGAGGGAGAGGGAAAAGTCACACAGTGGAAGTGGTGCTGACTTCATCACATGTGGGTCTCTGCTGGGAGATTCCGCCCCACAAAGCGAAGCCCGTAGGATCTTGTAACACTGTGACTGATGGGTGAATGGCATCAGTGACAAGCAACTCCCATTCCCCCTGGGGCCACTGTGGCACAAAGTGAATGGATAGGAGTGGTAGGGAATAGATCGCCTTTGAACCTAAAAAGAATAATTCCCCCTTCTTGCAGTGCTGGTCTTTACTCCCGCTCTCTCTCTTAGTTCGTGCCATTCTTCTTTCACTTTTTTCCTTTCTCTGCGGTGATTTTTTTGTCCTTCTGAGCTTTGTGGCTGACGATGATGACCTGGGGAAGAGTAGAATGTGAATAAAGTTGCTGTCATTTCAAAGAAGCGATGTGTCACTCAGCTCTTGTCTGACTTTATGTCAGAAAGAAAATTTAAGCTTTAAATAACACGGCACCGACGTTGTCCTGCAATTATTGCATAAGCCTAACTGAACGTAACTCGTTTGTTTTGGATAAATGTAACTCTGAAAATAGACTAATGATCCAGGGGCATTTTTGTGAACAAATTTCAAGAAAAGATTTCATGATGTGACATTTTCACATGCCCTCAGGAGCGCCGAATGCTTTTAATCACGAGCAGCAGTTTTTGAACAGGTTACAATCAAATTTGTTCCTTTTTGTGTTGCACTTTAAGGCAGCTAGTCACTAACTAAAGTTTGATGGATTGCTCTCCTCTGGTTACCCGCACGGCAACGACTGCTGCTGTCTGCGAGGAGATTGTTTGCGTTTCTGTGGCCAGCTTTTGTCAAACATCCTCTTCCATTTCAGTTTCTTGAAATGTTAAGTGTTCCTTTTCACCGCTGTCCATCACCACCCAGTGAATCCAAACAGGGAGCGAGCTCCACTTCTGTCATGCAGGGAGAAATTGAGACAAAGGAGAAGAGGGAAGAATGTACTGGCTTGGTGTGATGACAGTGCTTTGTTTGAATCCACAATATCGTTGCTGGCTGCTTTAAGTCAACATGTGAGGGTGGTTTTTTTTTGTTTTGTTTTTTATTATATACTGCATGTAAGA